TTCTTCAAAACTTAATTTTGTCCTTTATTTTCCAATATTGTTCTTATAACAGTGGTTGTGTGCAAATTACCCCCACACCTCCTAACTTTTATGACGTCTTCATGTGATGTAAATACCGAAATTACTCTGTATTATGAAATAATATGATGATATATTATGAAAATAACTGCAATTGTTGAATTCAATTAAATTAATAATAAATTTTAGACAATAGCAATCAAAAAATGAGTAAAAAATACAATACGCAATTAATTTGATGTATACAGTTATTTGTACAAAATTTATTGTTTTCAATTTTTGATTTGCAAAATCAATTTTCATAAATGCAATTGATTCAATCTATTTTTTTTTTAAATTTATTATAGCCTTTATATAGAAAATTTATTTCAAAATTGTACAACCATATATTGTATATATTTTTTAGTGAGGTGAGTTTCCGTTGACAGCAAGACATAGCCATCAACTTTGTTGACCCGGGAAAGATAATTGATGACCCGATGAGCATCTTCTTCATACCTAAAAATGTAGAAGGGGATAGCTTTTATCTCGACCTTCTGCTATTTTACCAGGTCAAGATTAGTTGGTATTTCTGCGTTGAACATTTAACGATGTCATTTCTTTGAGAACCGTTCAGTTTACGATTATTCGCTCAACATGAAGCAGCAGTGGAGCATTAGTGAAAGTGAGCAATATTATTCGCGTCATTATGTCAAATGTAAAAGAGTGATAATTACTTATATAGTAATTATTGAAAATTTACTAAAATATTGTTTAAAAGTTTATGATCTTTATACTATAATATATTTTTATTCTACTCATTTTATTATTTTATTCTTACATATAAATCTTCTTACGTACAAAATAATTATTTGTTGTAATTTGAAAAATTATTGTGTACAATATGGATTTTTACGTATAACACATTTATTTAATTTAAAAAAACACACTTAATTTTTTCATTTAGTAGTCGAGTTTTTAAATAAATATGTTTATTAATATAAACATAATTATTTTGTAAATAAAATATCCAAATAAATATAAATTTTAATTTGTACAGATAATATAGAACTTTTGGAAGAAGGATTGTATCAGGAGAAGCAAAAATGTATAAAGAGGATTATATTTAAAACCAATTGTTGCACGCAATTTATACTTTATCTCAAACTGATATTGTTATTAGAACTGATATTATTCTTTGGATGGGGTTGTTACATAATTTCACAGACTTATCTTTCTAAAGTAATAAAAAATGAGGCTACTTGTATCACTCTAGAAAAATATCCACCAGTAACTGAATTACTGTCTGAAATACAGGAGTCACGTCCAATTGCAGAAATACCAGCAATATTTGTTAAGCCTGAGATTATAGATAAGAAAAATAATCTTTTAGAAGGCACAGAGTTTACAGAAGACCAAAATTTAATGCAAAACGAGGCAATTGCAACCGATGCAATTAGTATGGTGCAAACAAATTTTCAAAATTCTGATAACGGACAACGTGACAATAAAGTAGAAATATATAATGTAAATAGATTATTAGCGACACTATTATCCGAAAATTTAATACACAATGAAAAGTTTATGAAGAACTCGGTATCAGAAAAATTTTCTTCGATTGAATTCACTGATGAAGACATTAATACTTACAAGAAAAACAACTTTCTTTATCATGTACAATTCCTTCAGAAACTGCGAGATACAAGTAAAGTAAAAGTAGTTAATGATTTAAAAAAATTTAAAAACATAAATGATTTCATTAAAGATGCTGATTATTTGATATTAAAAAGTGAAGAAAATCATGCATTAGATGCACCGAACAATCCCGAAAGTGTAGAATTTAATGTTGCACTGACTTCAAATCTTGAAAACTCTGTTGATAATGCAATCGGATATACAGATTTAACTTTGCGAGATCTGAAATTTTCCGATTTAATCAAAGATGCAGTACAAGATAATAGTAATGAGGACAGTACTTTATCTGATGAGACCAATGAACAAGCAAAACGTTTAAAACCTATAGATTTAGATTTTGTTATGTATCCATTTTACGAATTTCATGAGTCTTCTGATATACCAGTAAAAGACTCAAACAAAGCTTCTTTTACTTTTCAGCCTATATTAGAAGAAGAAATTTCGAAACAAGTAAAAAATAAGCCAAATGACGATATTGATAAAAGAAATGAAAATATACATAACACAAATGATAGCGATATGTTGATGTCAGCATCTGCGTTCGAAAACCAAGATTATTTAGATACATCGGTGATTACCATGCAAAGTACAGAAGAGCAACATTCGTCAGAGGATATCGAAAAGATAATAGAAAACAAGATGTATGAAGAATCAGTGCAACCGACAATACAAGATAGTGTAGAATTCTCGACATCAAATGTTGATAAATTTCAGTGGTTTAATGTGCCTCCTCGTTTTGCAGATCTCGAAAGGAAAGATATATCAAAATCAGACGAGGTAAGTCCATTATTCTGGGATACGTATAAGGAAGATGTCGACGACGTTATTTCAGAAAGTCAGTGCGAGATAACAATTAAAATGGGTATTCTCAAGGTGAAATGTCCCACTATTAAGTTTGATAAAGAATGGAATTTTACTTCTTCCGAAATGCCTCCAACTGATATTCCGAAAGTCACTGATTTTGGAGATATTTTTGATGCTTTTTTACATACCCAATGTGACGAAGATGCAAATGAGCAATTACAGATTGAAAATATTTCTAATGAAGATTTTAATAAGCAAGTTAGAACGTTGCAGGATAGTAGATCTAAAATAATCGATTTAATTGAATTACAAAAAAGCACTATAATTGCAAATGACGCGTCAATGAATGTATTTGATATGGCATTTATAGATCCTTCTGACAGTGGAAATAGCGATGAAAATTTTGCATTTTACAATTTCCCATTTTACGAGTCAAATGAAGAAGAAGCAAAACATATTAGAAGAGTAGCTTCCTCTATTTCTAAATTCAGTTCCAATACCGTCGATTCAAACAAGGAACGAAATCTATTTTTTGATATTTCTGACACACATCAACAAGAACAATTGAAAATTAATAAAGATTATTCAGTTCCTGATAATAGTGAAACTTTTTTGGAAATTTTGGAACATTTTTATAATTTGGAAAAGAATTTAACTTCTCAATTTAAAAATGAAATATCAAATATTATGGCACAATATTTACCAAAAAGTTCTTATGAGAATAATTACCCGAATGATATTTGTAATATTATTCGTTATGTGCGTTCCATATCACAACATTCATGGTATGAACAATATGCTATA